AACAAACTAAATAAAATTTGGGTTTTACCATAAGATAGAGGTTAAGAGGTAATATATACTCGTCACCCTCTCCTCTTTCCTCTCCCAAAGTCGCTCTATTTTCTTCATTTCCCCTCCGCACATAAAAGGTTAGAGTTTCTCCTTCTTTCCGAATGTTTTTCTCTAAAAATAAAATGGTTTATCTTTCTCTTTGGGGGTCTTGGTCTAGGTTTTCTTGATGTTTTCATCCATTTATACTATGGTAGAGGAGGAGGCAACACAAAGGTGGTGGTGATTGGGCTCAAATCAATTGCAGTACTTATTATTATTAATAAAATGGTTAAAAGTGTGGTCATTGACTAATCTTTTTACCCTCTACAGGAAAACATAGAAATAGCAGCGCTTTTATGGCTAAAAAGCAACATTTTTAAGTGTTATTACAAAGTGTTTCAACGATTCCAAAAGCACAAGCAAAACGCCGTCTAAGTAGCAGTTGCCCTTTTTCCTAAAAATGTAGCCTTTAAAATGTTTTCTTGTAGTGCCCAAAAGTGAAGTTGGCATAATGGGAAAGATTTCCGTGCAGTCGGTGATGCTTATTGTGGTTGTCCAATTATTCTTTAGCTCTAATTCGTACCTTTACAGCAATTTTTTGTTATCTTTAACAATAAATAGCTTCTTAAACCTAATTATCTATATTAGTTTACAAGCAATGTCATTTATTGCTATTTGTTGTAAATATAGATTCCGAGCCCTTTGTTAGTTATCTATTTAGATTTTATACCAATGTAATATCATTCTTTATTATCAATACATTTCATTATTTTATATAAAGAATAATAAATACTCAAACTGTGCATTAAATCTACATTAAAAAGGTCTTAAATTAAGTTAATTTTATCAATAAATTTCATGTAGACTGTAGAGTGTTACGCACCCCATCCCACAATATTTGTCAATTTTCTTTTATCATGATTTAATCAATAATTGAAAAAAAAAATTACAATGCAAATGGATCATGGATGAGTTAATTTAACAAATCATCTATTAATTTTTATTTTTATTTTTGATTTTATCTATTATGTTTGAATTCTTTCAATCATATTTATTATTTTTCACATTTATTTCAATTTCATTTAATTCATTATTTTTAATGGAAATGTTCATTATCTTTAA